TTGAGTAATTTTTCCCACACTTGCTTTTTTCTTACTTGTTCAACACTCTAACTAGGGTCAATGCCGACGCCATTTCGTCACGTGATCAAAACAAATGGCAGCGTTTGGAAAAATCTCGTTAATCTAACCCTGGCACATTTATTCCTTTAATATTCTGTTTGTTAGTGATATAATACGAACTTTACTAGTACTTTTGATTTTAACTATAGCAGTCGTTATATTTTGTTCAAATTTAATCAGCAGATCGACTACGTAGGTATTTTTACAAATATTTCTACAATTAGGCTAAGAGGAAGTATAGGGATGCACACAGCATTATTATGTAAATGTTTTGTAAATAATTGCATTTTTCCAACCACGTCATCTCAGAATATACTTTTCCAATCGATTCCTTTATAAATTTTACGCCGAAATTGATATGAGGTTATGCATGACAGCTTTAATTTTGCCAAAGATTAAGACGAAAATATCTTCCACGTTTTACCAGGGTAGGGGGTAACGATTGTTTTGCAAATATTGCCAATAGTCTAGTTGTAATGAATTCCTTGATCAATTTTAAATAAATACATGTATATCGTTTTCCATGACAGCCCAAATTGTCAAATATTTGGATCGATATAACAACCCTCTTCTACGAAGGGATAATAGTGACAATATTTTGTCAAATACTGTACATTTCGAGTGCATCATGTACATGTACATTTCGAGTGCATCATGTACATGTACATTTCGAGTGCATCAGACAAGTGGGGCCTATCAATAAGTCTTTGGGTGAGTAGGAGCCAAATTTCTTGCTACACCACTTAATACTTTACTATAAATATATTCTATTCATTAGGCAAGGCACATTAATTGCCTCCACATGATAACAATTTAATGTGCTGCTGTTTTGCAAGATTTCCAAAAGAAACCATGAATTGCATTCAGGTTTTATTCACATGCTTCACTTTTTAAGAATTTCTTTAAAATTCACTCTCACAATCATCATAACTGAAAGACAATGTTAGAACATTTAATGTTAAGAGTTAGGAATTGTACAGAAGTTTTAATGTTATCAAAACTAATTTGATTTGCTTCCCTAAAGAATGTTGTTTTCAAGTTTTAATTAATAAGATTCCAAAACTTTGGTACTGAAAAATTAAGTCTAGACTAAGTATGTAATGTTGAGAGATGCATTATTAAGGCTAACATTATTGACATGTTGAGACAAATATTTTCATATTTATTTTGTACTTTTCTTCATTACTGAAATATGACATGAATTTGAACAGTATTTTCATTTCTTATATTTTCACAATCAATCATCTAAATATGTCCTAACAGTAATTTATCAATTTAACTAAAAGTTTGTTAGATTTAAATATAAAAACAAAAAATATTAACATATACATTAAAATAAATATTTGAGATTTCAAAAAAGCCTTTGTATGATTATATGTGGACAATAGTGAAAGCCTTTGTATGATTATATGTGGACAATAGTAACTCTAATTTACTATGATTTAAATTAAAATGTATTAAAATTTAACACTTGAATTTGTGACTTTTCATAGTTCTATAGTCATCTGTCACTGTCATGTTCTGATAACTGAATCCATATGGTTACATGCAAATGTGATGCATATTTCAATTTATGACCATGTGAACAAGGGTAAAAAATGAATGTGACAGCATATCTTGGGTCATCCACTAATTATGACAACAAAATGGGGGTGGGGATTTGAATAAGTGTTTCATAATTGTTGACATGGGGGAGTACAAGATAAATTGATGTAAACAATGTTTTTTAAAAAATAAATTTAATAAATCAAAACGTAGGAAATTAGTCGGTGCATTGGTATTGCAAACACTCGCTCACCAGTCAACAGCCCACCAATTTACTCCAACGCGGTCAAGCTTTTGCCAAGGAAGTCAGTCTTTCTATGTCATGTCTAGGATTCAAACCAGTGACCTGCATCCGAGGTGGATGCTCTAGGCAATCAGAGCAGATAGCAATCAGAGCAGATAGCAGATAGCCTGGCCAGCCCTCATATGCCCATTGGCCAGCCAGGCAAGGCTGAGGCAGCGCAGCGCGGCCGCTCTTGCCGAGGCCTGGCCAGCCCTCATATGCCCACTGGCAAGCCAGGCAAGGCGGAGGCAGCGCAGCGCGGCCGCTCTTGCAATGGCCTTGCCAGCCCTCATACGCCCACTGGCCAGCCAAGAAAGGCGGAGGCAGCGCAGCGCGGCCGCTCTTGCCATGGCCTGAACAGCCGTCATACGCCCACTGGCCAGCCAGGCAAGGCGGAGGCAGCGCAGCGTGGCCACTCTTGCCATGGTCTGGCCAGCCCTCATACGCCCACTGGCCAGCCAGGCAAGGCGGATGCAGCGCAGCGCGGCCGCTCTTGCCATGGCCTGGCCAGCCCTCATACGCCCATTGGCCAGCCAGGCAAGGCGGAGGTAGCGCAGCGCGGCCGCTATTGCTATGGCCTGGCCAGCCCTCATTCGCCCACTGGCCAGCCAGGCAAGGCGGAGGCAGCGCAGCGCGGCCGCTCTTGCCATTACCTGGTCAGCCCTCATACGCCCACTGGCCAGCCAGGCAAGGGTGGAGTCAGCGTAGCGCGTCCGCTCTTACCATGGCCTGGCCAGCCTTCATACACCCACTGACCAGCCAGGCAAGGGCGGAGGCAGCCCAGCGCGGCCGCTCTTGCCATGGCCTGTTAAGCCCTCATACGCCCACTGGACAGCCAGGCAAGGGCGGAGGCAGCGCAGCGCGGCCGCTCTTGTCATGGCCTGGCCAGCCCTCATACGCCCACTGGCCAGCCAGGCAAGGGCGGAGGCAGCGCAGCGCGTCCGCTCTTGCCATGGCCTGTTCAGCCCTCATACGCCCACTGGCCAGCCAGCCAAGTGCGGAGGCAACGCAGCGCGTCCGCTCTTGCTATGGCCTGGCCAGCCTTCATACGCCCACTGGTCAGCCAGGCAAGGGCGGAGGCAGCGCAGCGCGGCCGCTCTTGCCATGGCCTGGCCAGCCCTCATACACCCACTGACCAGCCAGGCAAGGGCGGAGGCAGCCCAGCGCGGCCGCTCTTGCCATGGCCTGGCCAGCCCTCATACGCCCAATGGCCAGCCAGGCAAGGCGGAGGCAGTGCAGCGCTTCCCCTCTTGCCGAGGTCTGGCCAGCCCTCATACGCCCACTTGCCAGCCAGGCAAGGGCAGAGGCATCGCAGCGCGGTCGCTCTTGCCGAGGCCTGGCCAGCCCTCATACTCCCACTGGCCAGCCAGGCAAGGCGGTGGCAGCGCAGCACGGCCGCTCTTGCCGAGGCCTGGCCAGCTCTCATACGCCCACTGGCCAGCCAGGCAAGGCTGAGGCAGCGCAGCGCGGCCGCTCTTGCCAAGGCTTGGCCAACCCTCATACACGCACTGGCCAGCCAGGCAAGGCTGAGTCAGCTTAGCGCGGCCGCTCTTGCCAAGGCCTGGCCAGCCTTCATACGCCCACTGGCCAGCCAGGCAAGGCTGAGGCAGCACAGCGCGGCCGCTCTTGCCAAGGCCTGGCCAGCCTCATACGCCCACTGGCCATCCAGGCAAAGCGGAGGCAGCGTAGCGCGGCCGCTCTTGCCATGGCCTGGCCAGCCCTCATACGCCCACTGGCCAGCCAGGCAAGGCGGAAACAATTTAGGGTAGGTCTCATAATACTGCGTGTTACTAATGACAAGGCGTTCTTCAATTTATTCGGGGCACAATTAAAAGATGATAATATGGCAGTGAGTTTCCTAGTGGGAGATAATCTAATAAGCCGCGAAAAGAGAGAAGTTCGAAGTTATTGAAATAGTTTCACCAATCACAATGTTTATAATCTGAACAATACGTGCTTACACTACCGGAAAACCTGCTTATTTTTTAAGTATTAGTATCTAATTCTCTAAAACAATTTTGCTTGCACCAAGGAGGTAAAATGTCATATTCGCTATTTATAGAAAGCAGGTAACAATTATAAATATGGATCAGATCATGATTAACTGTTTACGGGTCATTACCATGCTAAGCAGTTTTTATGTATAAATCTCATATCAATCAATATCACATTAGTCATTACATTGTAATAATCTCCTATCAGACAATATCACATTTGTCATTACATTGTAATAATCTCATATCAGACAATATCACATTTGTCATTACATTGTAATAATCTCATATCAATCAATATCACATTTGTCATTACATGGTAATAATCTCATATCAATCAATATCACATTAGTCATTGCATTGTAATAATCTCATATCAATCAATATTACTTTTGTCATTACATTGTAATCATCTCATATCAATCAATATCAAGGATGTGCATTGCTATTGTCATTAAGCATATACATGGATATAACCATTAAGTATAAGCACTGATATTGCTATTACCATAAGTATATACATTGCTATTATTAATCATTTACATTAATATTACTATTACGCATATGTATTGATATTACCATAAGCATATACATTGATATTACCATCAACAATATAAATTGTCATTAAAATTAATCATATGCCTTGCTATTACCATTACGTATAAGCATTGATATTGCTCTTACCATCAAGCATATGCTAGTACCAAACCATAGGTATCGATATTACCATAAGCATATACATTAATATTACCATTAAATATAAGCATTGCTATTACCATAAGCATACAAATTGCTGTTACCATTAAGTATATGCATTGTTATTACCATACGCAGATGCATTGTTAATACAATAAGCGTATGCATTGTTTTTATCATAAGCATATGCTTTGCTTTTACCATTAGGCACATGCATTGCTTTTACCATGAAGAATACGCATTGAAATTACTCTTAAGCATACGAAGCATACGCATTGTTATTACCATTAAGCATACACATTGCTATTACCATTAGGCATGCTCAATGCTTTTACAGTTAAGCATACGCATTGCTGTTGCCATTAAACATCCGCATTGGTATTACCATTAGGCATACGCATTGCTTTTACCATAAAGCATACGACCGCTCCGTTAGCCTAGTGGTTAGAGCGTCCGCCTAGGATACGGAAGGTCGTGGGTTAGTTACCCGGACTAGTCATACCAAAGACTTACAATAATGGTACTTACAGCTGCTTCGCTTGGCGCTAAGCATTAAGAGGTTAGTGTTAGGACTGGTCGACCTTGTGTCAGAATAATATGACTGGGTGAGACATCATGCTACATGTCCGCGGCATGATGCCTCAGTGTTAGACATCACTATAAACTGCTACACTGCAGACATCGTAGCAATATGACTGAAAAATACGTTAAAACTCCAACTCACACTCACACATTAAGCATACGCAATGCTGTTACCATAAAGCACATGCATTGTTATTACACTCAGCATGTGTGCTCCATTTTTTAATAGTGAGGTGATTAAAATATTCGTTTCTACTATTGATCCATTTAGTGAAATAAAGCACTAACACAAAAATCATTATCTAAACTTTACTCCACTGAGTTTAATCTGTATGATATCATTCTAATCTCCAAGTATTCAAGTATCATTTCCTGCAAGATTATTTAAAATAAATATAGATATACTCCAAAATCTATCTTCCTTCATTAGTTTTTTTTATTTTTATAAAATCTATTATGCAATATAAAGCTTCAATAGCTTTATTATACAAGTTAGGGAATTAATCTATAGATGTTTCGGTGAGAAGTACCATATCAACGTTTGAAGTTGTAAAATCAGTTCTTTTCTAGTAAGTTTATTTAATAGCAATAAATTTTATGGTGGTTTAAATGATTAGAGATTTCGCCTCGGATACGGGCGGTCACCGGTTTGAACCCCGGCCGAATCATACAAAAGACGTAAAAATCGTACTAACAGCTGTTTCGCTCTGCAGACCACATTAAGAGGTTAGTGTTACCACTGGTTGGCCTCGTTTTAGGGTAATGTGACTGTGTGTAACATGATGATACATGTCTGCGGCATGATGCCCCAGTGCTAGATACCACACTATACGCTGCCACACTGTACGCATCGTAGCGGATATGACTGGAATATTGTCAAAGCTACGTTAAGAATCCAAATCACACACACAGGCACACACACACACACACGCACAAGCACAAGCCCCAAAACAATATTATTCTTTGTTTGTAAGTCTTTAAAGAACTTCTCTTTTCATTTTCCTGAGTGTTGAAGTGAATTGTTGAATCACAAGACATTAACCAGCATTAACATTGACACTGTTTTACCCTTGGCACGATACAGCTAGTATTGTGCCGACGTGTTGTTAAGCTCTATTTTTATCATAAATTAAAAGGAACACAGACTTGTACTTCTGTACAAAAGCATCTCAAATGAGTACAATTTTCTAACGGAAAATCATCCATCAGAATCCATATCAAAGCATGCCTCATATGAAGAAACACGCTGTATAGTCGATGTCCCCGGCTGGTCGATTTATTTAAGGCGCAAGCTATTACAAATGACTCACAGCTAAGTCCTCTTTAGTTCGAATATTGGCTGGAACTATGTGGAGAAAGCTTGGCAGTAGCGTTCCCTATGTCGTTTTACCTCCCGTGTTCATTTTCCACCAAATATACTCACCACTATGTATAGCCTAGCATGTGCTAAAATGGCATTGAACGTTACAAAAGCAAAATCCTATATGCGTTTTTGATCGTTTTATTTTGCATGTGTACCTTTATTTGCGTAACATTATGTTATGCTTCCTTGTCTGAGCCAAGTTCCTTTTTAACACCGTTAGATAGCCCTCAGTAGAGAGAGGTACTTTTCATAACTAAACTAGGACTACATAATTAGTTGATTAACTGTTATATGATGGAAAATCCTATTTAGGTAAAGTGATTTAGTTTATGGTACAAGTCTAATAAGATCTGTTGATTTATCCGGGTTCTTAGAACATGTAAATATGTATATCAAACAATGATGGAATGGTCTAGACAATACCGTAATCAGCTTTTCTACAAGTGTTTCAGACGTTAAATATAGATAGATTAGTGGATTTTGTTGTTTGTGATGGGAGCTCTTACACGTAGGCAAAGTGTCTGTGGTATGGAACCCATGGTGCAGCCCCTGGGTGCGAAGCTCACTGACGTTTTTGCATTTTAAGCTTTGCAAGGTCATAACGTTAGCCATCTAAAAGTACTCACATACTACAAATAGATTCGTACAGCTGTTGCTTGCATCAGACAGATTTCATTCCCATGTATACGAAGTTATAAGGTTTAAGGTTTAAGTTGATAGTTCTATGAAACACATTTTATAGTGTTCCAGTACTAATTACATTTGTACATACTGTTTTCGGCCTACGTCCCCAGTCTGTAAAACAAATTTGACTCCCCCATGGTTCTATACATCGATTTTATGATATCTATGTAGAGCAATACTATATTTCATTCTTAAGTTTAGATTTGATTTCTAAGTGCATGTTATTGATCCCTTACTGTACAAGGTCGGTCAGTCAACATTGACATCCGTAACGTTATCAAGCGCAGAAATAATCGCAGTACATGTACCTCAACTAAAGTTGGTTGGTAATATTGTGTTTCCAGATAATAACAGATGGTTCTCATTGAGTATTGTGTCGTACTAGCCTAATATTACACTTGTTTCTGATTGTATTTCCTTAGTAGTCATGCAGAGACCTAAATAGTCTGACATTGACAACTGTTATAATTTATAGAGAAATGTAAGGAGAACATGATAAGAAGGTATTTGAAAAGTTATGAACATTTATTTCAATGAAATTGCTAATAAATTGAATGCCGATGGACGGACAAAAAACATCTTACGAAATTATCTGCAGCTTTGCGTGCTGCAAGCCAAAATTCTTCAGCTATATGTGACATAACATAGAAAAATGTCCGTTACGTAACATGTCGGAGAAGCACAATTCTGCTACTGTGAAAAAGTATAATGTAAAATCTGGTGTTTTTACCCTGCTGTCCGACTGATATCAATTACGGCTTGGATAAAGATTTTGGTCGTAATTCTCCGTCGCATCTCACAAGTTTTACGTTTGTTTCACCTCTTCAAAGATGGCTACGAATCCATGTAAGATTTGCCATGTTGTGGAATGCCCTTGTCTGCGATATGTGAGGAGCAAATAACTGCTGTGAAATAAGCAATTGATGAAGATAATCGAGACAGACGTTGGAATATGTTTATAATATCATAGGCATTAATTCAACAGCTGCTCTTAATGCAATAAAGAACTGGATGAAGCTCGGATTTAATTTGTGCTAGATGGGTACCGCGTTGTTGAAGGCTTATCCGTAGTATCCTAAAGGGCGTTATCGACTACATTTATCTATCAGGACTCCCGAGCAGACAAGCCCTTTTAGATCTCCATAACGTGTTCCTACCAGAATGTTTCACACACGCGTGCATCCGCGTGGAAGCCTCGCTTCTTAAGCCTGCGGGATGCTCGCATCTGGGGTTCCTAAGCTGGGATATTGTAGAATGTATGCATGGTTTCAAATAAGTTCGTCGTGATACATGTACTAGTTACTGAGACAGATAAGAATGCTATTCAAACTCTTTTGTCTTTCCGGATTTCATTTAATTTGTCATCCGTCGTCCGTTGGCCTTCTTTTCCAAAACGTTTTTAATAACATTCTCTATGAGTATTACCAAAATGCATCTGGATACAGCTGAAATTGTTGCATGCATTTGGCGCTTTTATAATGGCCTTGAAAGTTCTTAAATTTTGATATTGTTTGATCCAGCAATGATTTCTTTCTTTCACATCATCAAATTCAACACTAACCAATTATTTTCACTAATAGGCAACAAATCCTACCGGTGTCTATGGTTCATTGGCTTAATACTGTCAATTATAGGCTGCAGATCTTTCTGGAATAAAGCAAGTGTTTGCCTTTTCAATTGATGTTCAGTACTCGAAAGCTTTTCCAATTTGATAATTTTGAGCTAATTTTCCCCATAGATGTTTGCTTTTTGTTCAGGAAAGTAACCATGCAACTTCTGTTATACCGCAAAAATTAGTGGCGGAAGGTCTGCTGGTTTTCCTTTATATACTGTTCAACAGTTTAAAGCGAAATTAACATGTAGAGGAAGCGGAGTTCCTGTGCACGTTTCGATCAGATGACTTTATCTGTGGCGGAGACGTCGTTGCTTTTCCATCTTAAACCAGCAGCTTTTCAAACTCCGGCATGGTAATCGTTTAATCTTCTATGTCTATGGAGTACACCTTAGCGATTCTGCTGAATAGACACGTGTTCACAAAAATAACATAATGAAATTATTTTTTATCAGCGGAGTTTGACAAACTGGTTACAGTCCATATTGCCTCTTCAACAATTCCGATTGGCATGCCTATATTAGCATCCAAGACAATACACACACGTTCGTTTGTATTTCTCGACCAAAATGGTTTTCGTGGTAATTTCATCTCACAGCTGTTGATCCACTTCGATTAGTGTACTAGTGTCGGAGACTTTGAGGGTCAATAACAGCTCTTATATTAATGATGTGTTCGGGTACTGTAGGTACTCAACAGGCACAACACGTACTTCTAACCAATTACCCTATTTTACTTGTACAACTGCATTGCAATCACATACATCATCTTCCCGTGGAATATTTACTTCTCTGGTATACAATTTGTGGACTTAACATCATACTGATTAGACCATTGATTTGTGCAGAAACGATCGTTCTCGTTTTATCCCAACTGTTACATGGACATGCCCTTATTATAGTCGAGATCTTTCTTCTCTTAGATGAGTAAATGCAGATTTGACATAAATGATGGGAACGATGAGAAATGTAACTCGCGTGAAATTGACGTTACATAAATAATCCCTGGGTGTTTTTGCGCCAGGTGATGCACTACTAGAACTATTATTTTCACCAGATGATAAGAGGATTCCATGCTTGATAATAGTACATCCTGGTGTCTGTCAAGTTTGATAAGACCTAGCTACATAGTTATATATATATAAAAGCTATAATCTACCTGTCTTGTGATTACCATCGAGGCCTTGTGTTTGATTTCTAAATATTTCCGCAGGGCTAGTGTTGACCTTTTAAGCAAGGTTACCATGACCAGCCAGAGA